TTTCGGAGATGGGACTCTTTCTCCGTCTTCAGGTTCCTACACAGTTGGGCCCACTAGATAGAGCTAATCCCTATCTCCGGAGATAAGAGTCCCATCTCCGAAACGTCGTTTTTTACGTTTTATATATTGTGCCCATTCTGAATTGAAATATCCTAGTTGCCCTCACCCACAATTTGCAGGGGAACCGTTCATAATATGTCTGTAAAATCGAAACAGCTATGACATCCATTGCGGACGGCCTCGCTCTCTCTTGGAATATTGTTTTCATCTTATGCAGTTGAAAGAGAGCAAGTGGAAGTAGGGATCATGTCTTTCAGATCTGTTCGTGCATTGATGTCTCTGTGTTGTTTTTCAATTAGTAGGCGATCTTCATCTCTCCGTTCCCATTACCACTGGAGCAATAAAGAAAGCGAAAGGAAAATGCAAGGAAAATTAAACTAATAAACAATTAAGCAACAAAGTCAGAGGCGTAACGTTCCATCTTGTCGCTAATGGAACACCACTCCACTGACAGCGTATCCTTCATCTCACAGAGTCACATGACAGGAAATAATATTCCGCACAGAACTGCTCGTCCTTCCTTCCTTCCGTGAGTATTAGTTCTTCAACTTCTTGAAATGAAATTCACTCTTTAGTACATCGCGTTATTTGATATTTTCACCGAACGTCACATCTGAGTGGTTAGCACTCATATTCAGGTGGTCCCTCGTTCAAATCTCATGTCATTAAATGCATCTCAAATAGAAATCCTAAGAAGAATATAAAATTTGGTTGGAAACCTCAAGGGAGGATATATCGTAATTTTAGAGTCCGAGACTAAATTTGGAGGATATTAGCTCATTGAAACCCAATGTTAAATATATGTACCATCTATTTTACGAATCAGTAGCTCTGCATTTTGTATTTATGTGTTTCGGGTGGTTCTCACTGTAAACATGAATTTATTTGATTAAACAACATTTATCGTTTGGTCTTTGTAATGGTGAAGTAAGGTACGGATTAAATTCTTAAATATTATTTAAATTAGCTTCAGCTTCATAGGGTTAATATGTACCACAGAGAAGCAGGGCATTAAACTGTCTTAGTACACTGTTTAAAGATGGGCCTGTGTAGAAATCTAATTAAGCCTTCGGGGTGCTACGAAAGTAGAGGACTCCAGACAATAGGACGGAAACGTTCGACACCCATAGTTCAGGTTAGATTTTAGGTTCTCACGGCGGCGGATTTGAAGATGACTGTTCTTCATCACTAATGCAGTAAGATCTGGAGGCAGTTTCATAAATCTCCCATTATAAAAACCAATCTCCACATCTATTTCGTTTACTTTCAAGTGATCCTTTTCCAAGAGCTGTTGATACAAAAAATGTATTCATTTCTTACAACATCATAGCTACACGTTTAGCTGATCAGAGCCCATCTTTATGAATCTATTCCTTCGTAAGAAGCTGATAGTTGTTCATGTGACAAAGACGTTTCCGTCTGTTACGGGACCCGAATATACATTTCCGTGGTCACAAGACCCCGCCACGGGTCTGTGTCCTGAGGTACCAGATTCCAGTCCAGAACCTCGCACCCTATAAGGCCCATTTTAATATTGTCTTCCG